CCCGTGCAGGTGTCCGGGGTGCAGCGGAAGGCATCCTCAGAGCTCCCTTTCCACCTGCAGTCAGAGAAGCATCAACGCAGTGGCAAGGGGTCACAGGCTCTGGGCCCACATTGCTGTAGTGGAATTGATGACAGAATCCTCTGATTCTATTGTGATCAGAGCTGAGCTCTGGGCAGGAGAGAGCTGCACGAAGCCAGGGCAAGTGGGCAAAGGTGCATGCATCTCAGAGCGGGCAGCTAACTGAAGTACAGGCTCAGGAAAAGGGAAAAGGTGCGAAATAAGGAAGATGTGAATACTAATTTCAAGAACGGCAATCTGCTTCCTCCCAGCATATTCTAGGCTGACAGTGTGATCGGGGTGATATAAGTGATCTACCTTGCTGTGTTCTACCCTCTTGGAACGGTAGTCACCTGAGTTCACAGCAAGTGGAGCCCAGAGCTTTCTTGTCTCTTTCAGTCTGGGGCCTGGGTCTCTCCCCTTGGATATGAGTCCCAGGAGACAAGGGTCCACAGGAGCCTCAATCATAGCTGGGCTCTATTCCTAAGCCCTGAACAAGGAAGTATGCAGCCAGTTGGTGGAATGAGTGGATGGATAGATTGATGGATGGATGGATGGATGGATGGATGGATGGATGGATGGATGGAGGGTGGGCGGATGAATATTCATCCGTCAAGGGCCCTTAATGGGACTTTCACGTGACACACGCAGGACGTGCAATTGGTTTGCTACCTTAAGGTCCAGTCTGTATATAACTGCTGCTCTGAGCCCATTCCCAGTTAAGCAATGCCCTGGTTCCCTCCTCGGGGGTGGTCCCTTCTTTCAGCACCCCCTGGAACAAGGACAACCTTCAGACAGGTCTTCTGTAATCCTAGGCTAGTCCCCACCTCTCCATGTTCCACAGTAAAGGCTCAACTGGATCCCACCTGTTATGACCCCATACGGACAGTAGTGTGCTTCCCTGTAATAACCACAGCATCTTGAGTGCAGTAACAAGGAAAGACTATGTGATAGAATAACCAGAAATGCTTATTTCGTGAAGAATGATGAAGCTCAACATAAAGGTGAAATTAAGCCTTCTTTTATTAGCAACTAATGTTAACCTAAAAAGCTAATCTGCCATTTTGAACACTGTGTTTTGATAGTAATTTATCTCACAAAGGAACAAAGTTATTCCAAATGCACAATTAGGACCACATAGAACTGAAATGGTCTCGGCAGAATTAAACTCTTCTGAACCATAGGTGAATATTTAGCAGGAGAAATACAGAACTTCGTCCAGCACACCATTAATTATCTTACCCTTCATTAAACCGCTAACCTTGTGGTTCACCGAAGATATAAAGAAACTGATTTTCCATTTTATAATTTGATTCCAGGAAGCCCAGTTCTTGAAGTATATAAACTTCTCCCAGGAGGAAGTTAGGCACCATGATCATCTACATGGCCATTGGGACCATCAAAAGACATTTATTAAGCACTTAATTGTGCATAGTGCTGAGTTAGATGGTGCACAGAGAATTAGGTAAAGGGAATTTCTCTTCTTCTGTGAACTTACTGGGTACACAAGAGAGTGAATAACATGACAAACCAAGACAAGAAATCGAGAATGGAACAAACTGCTGAGGAAGTCATTTTGGATGAAACAAAGAGAAGGGACAAATTCTAGGCTAGTGGAGGAGAGCCGGCAGGGGGACTCAGGACTGCTCTCTCCTCCCTGAGCAGGGCAGGCAGGCTCCTGGGCAGCCTCAGAAAGTTCAGGGCAGGCACTGGGCTGGGAACGAGATCTCAGGTGGTACATAAATTCTGAGGAGGAGAAACAGCCTGGGGAGGGCTGGGGAGGAAGAGGGGGGCACCATCACTCTCGGAAGATCTCTCCATTCTGGACACTGGTGACCCAGTGGACTTCCGGGAGGTGATGGCATGGCTGCATTTGGACAGGCACAGTGACACAAAGTAACGAAGGCTGAAAGGACGATTTGTAGAGGTCGAGTCTCTGTCCCTTGTTCTCACTCTGATGCACAGGTGTAGATTTTGTTTATAAAGCGGAAGTGCAAAATGAATATCAGAGAGGCACTGAGGCCTAGAGAGAGTGTGGGACCACGAGTCAGAACACAGGTGCTCCGGGCTCCTCTGGGCCTCTTAGACCCCCAGATCACCACCATGGAGGCTCTTTGCCTCGATGGAGAGGCGTTTGTGTTCTTACCTCTTTCTCGCTTCTGGGGCCCCACCTGGGCACGGGATCTCCCGGTGACAGTACAGCTCCCTAGCACAGGTGGCTGGCTGCAGTAGAGGCATCAGGCCCGGGGCCTTGGGATTCCCAGGGGTTCCTGCTGTCTGTACTTTTTCTCCACACAAGTGTTCTTATCTCAGTCCCGGACAGGTGTAGACACCCTCTGTGATTGCTGAATCCCAGGCTAGCTCTGGTCAGGATGGCCGTTCTTCTTGCTGTCCAGTCCCTGTAACTAGGGGCAGGGATACGCAGGGCATCGTGGGTGGTGTGTGCTGACCGGTAGGCAGGTGATCCCGGGCAGATCCTCCCCAAGGGTCAGCTACAGGTGTTCTCAGGACCCTCCGAGGTTGGAAACAATGAGCTCAGAGGAAATTTCTAATCAAATGAACTGGCGTAGATGCAGCATTTCAATCAGGAGACAACACAGACTGCTTTGCCTCTGAGCCTTCTTTTTTCCGTTTTTAGTTTCCTCTCACTTCTATTAGTCCCGCTAAATTACTGAGTGTTGTCATCATTGAGGTATTAATTGACGGCTCATTTTGAATAGCTGCCTGAGTGTTGGCGATTGTATACAGTCGTGCAACCGCCTCCCCAGTCACACAGAACATTCCCACTGCTCCCAAATGCTTCCTCCTGCTTGTTTGCAGTCTACCCCTCCCCAAACCTGGCCCCTAATGAACACTGATCTGCTTTCTGTCACTATATTTGGTCATTTCTGGATTGTTATATAAATGGGATTATTCTGTGGTTCTTTTGTGTCTGACTTTTCTCATTCGGCAAAGTGTTTTTGAGATTCACGCACGATGTTACAGGTGTCGGCGTTCATCCCTTCTTACTGCTGAGAAGTACCGCACGGCGAGGACCCACCATGAGGATCTATCCACTCACCAGCAGGTGGACATGTGCATCCTTTCCAGTTTGGGGCTCTTATGGATAATGCTGCTCTGAGCATCCTGGCAGCCTGTGGCTTAGGCAGAAAAATTGTGTGGCTCCCACTCCATGTTATTATAGTTATTTGTACCTGTCTGTTATGGACAGAATGTGTCTCCTCAAAATTCATATGTTAAAGCCCTAAACTCTAACGTGTTTGGTATTTGGAGGTGGGGCCTTTGGGAGGTAATTAGGGTTGGATGAGGTCATGAGGGTGGGGACCCCAAGATGGGATTGGTGCCCTTATAAGAAGAGACACCAGAGCTCTCTCTCTCTCCCTCTGCCCGCGGTGTGAGGACATGGAGAAGACGACTGTCTACAAGCCAGAAAGAGAGCTCTCATCAGAAACCGACCCTGCTGGCACCCCGAACTTGGACTCCCAGCCTCTGGAACTGTGAGCAAATAAATATCTGTTGTTTAAGCCACCCAGTCTAAGGTATCTTGTTATGACAGCATGAGCAGACCAAAACACTCTGTAAGTCCATCTGGTACCTCCACTGTATTCATCTGCTGCCTCTGCACTATATCCCAAAAGACTATCTCACATACTAACCCCCTTTTCCTGCAGTCTTTTAAAAATAAGCAACATTAAAGATTAGAAAGTAGATTAGTGATTGTCAGGGGCAGAAAGAAGAAAGAAGAGGGTACAGAATTTCTTTTTGGAGTGATGAAAATATTCTAAAATTAGATAGTGGTATTGGTTGCACAACTTAGTGAATACACTAAAAACCACTGAACTGTACATTTTAAAAGGGTGGATTTTATGGTATGTGAATACATCTCAATAAATCTGTTATTAAAAAAATACAGCAGACTTGTATATGGAATCATTAGTTCTGATAAAACTACCAATCCTTTTATTAACCTTTTGATTCGTATGCTTGGACACAGGGGAGAATTTTGGTAAATGTGGGACAGTCTTAAGGTTCTTTGCCTTTGAGATGTAACTGGAAAGAATCTTCAGAAACACACAGAGATTGCTGACTACAGCTATTTTTAAAATGTAAGTAAAAATGAATTGTTGTCCAGGAACGTGGATATACGGAAAACTTTGCTTCAAATTACTATTTTATGATAGAATAATGAATATGGAATATCTTATATTTAACATCTATTCAAAAACATTCAAAGGACATGGCATATATAATGATAAGCAAACTCTGGGGATGCTTTAGGTCTCTTGTTGAATTTTCTGATGCCACTGATCATATATTCTGCTTTTATTTATCAATTTCCAATAACTCTTCAGTTAAACCCTGTTAGTATATGACTGAGTATTAGATGGTTTAGGGCAAGTTAATTCATCAAGCATTTCAGCTGCTTCTGGGCAATCCGGGTGTGCATAGATGACCTATGAGAGGACCATTCACCACCCCTAATGGGGTTTCCCTGGACTTTTACACAGCTTATGTCTCATCTTGTGCATCTCTGTCTTGGAGAGAGGGCTGTCGTAGCTCTCACTGACTACTGCGAAGGAGAAGGAAGGAGAAAGAATGAGATAAAAAACACATTTTGCCCAAACACGCCCAAGATGCCTTCAGGAGACTTGACTTTCTGCCAGTTCATAACTGAGCACCTCCAAAGAAAAGAGAGAGTGTGCGAGGGACACTCGGTCTTGCAGCAGGACACCCAGGCCGAGAATCCATCAGCCCACCCATTTTAAGTTCAATGTTTCTTTGTTTATGTGTTGTTTACCTTCAGATCTAGATGCTTTCCTTTAGATCAGAATTGTTGAATAGAAACATAACATGAATCACATTATTAGTAGATTTAAATTGTCTAGTAGTCATTTTTAAGAGAAGTAAAACAAACAGGTGAAATAAAAAAGACTCCTCAGTATATCCAAAATATTATCATGTCAATGTGTAATTAATACAAACAATTATTAATGAGAGATTTTATCTTTGCTTTTATTGTAGCCAGTTTTTGAAATCTGCGACTGTTTTACATTTCTATCACATCTCAAATTGGGCACCAAATTTTCAATGATTCCTGTAAAATGTTTAATCCTAGCAAAAAATCAAGTTGTGTTAACAGGAAAATGGTTGATATTACTTCAGCCTGAAAATCTAAATCTAAATATACTATATTTATATCTAAATAGAAATTAGGTAAGGTTGAAATTTCAAGTTCATCTCCTCAGTCCCTCTAGCCACATTTCCAATGCCCAAAGGCCACATGGCTGGTGGCTCTGGGATGGGACAGCACAGGTCTGGATTACACAGTGACTGAGAGGGGCACCCAGGGGCAGGACAAGAAATAATCACCTCAGTAACACCATCAACTACTTTATGCTCACGGATCAGAAGTGTGCACAGCCATTCGCCTTGACATAAATAATGAGCGTGTGGAGACAGGACTTGTAACTAAGAGGGATTTGAACTTGACTTGTTACTTTCCAGGCTCTACAATTAATTCTAAGCCTGGGAAGGTCAATGAATCAAGTATTTGAAGCATAACAAAGGGGCTCTTGGGAGAAACTCTACATTTCTACATAGACAGCAGTGTTCTGAACAGCTGTGTGGACCTTACCCTGGAATGCTGGCCAGCAAGGCACTGCCCCCGAGGTTGGGGTGCAGGAGGAGACACGGCCATGTCAAGAGCTCCTGCTGCGGGGGAGATGGGCCTCTGGACCCCTTTCCCTCCTGTCCTGGAGGGAGCATGCCAGCCGCCCTCGCTACTCTCCTGCAACACTGCCTCCAGTGGGCTCTGCCTGGCTCCGCCAGGCAGCTCCTCACTCTGTACCCCATGCACAGTCTTCCCACTGTGGCCTCGCCCCAGCCACCCTGGGGCGGCAGCTCCTCAAGGTGGCACTGGTCCCCACTGATGACCTCTACCCGATAGCCAGCACAGAGCTCAGCGCATGGGAGGCACTCAACCTCTTGAGTTTGTGGAGTGAATGGATGACATGATGTAATTGTGCCAGCCATAGCAGACATTTCAAAAACCAGAATGAGTATGGAGGATGTTATTAAAACAATCCCCCTCCCTTTTTTTTCAATAATACTTGAGCTGAATTTTGAAGAGAACAAGAAGCAGAAGGTGCTTTATAAATGCGTCTTTCTTCTCAGAGAAAACATCTGGAAAGTTGACATGGAGGGGCCCACGACTTCTTTTTTGTTGTCATAACATCCATGGTGGAACGGAAAGGACTTGGGCAAGGGAGAGCCAAACCAATCATTTTAAATGGGGCTGAGAAAAGCCATTTGGTTCCACTCCATCTGAACTTATAAAACACTTGGTTCAAACCTCCTAAGACCCCAGGCCACCACCCTCCTCCGGGCCCAGGGGCCACGGCCACGCTGACAAGCCTCCAGGAAAACATCTTGAATGCGTTTGGCTGGAAACAGGACTGAGTCCAGGGCTTGAGAGATGGATAGTGTCTCAGTTTGTTAGTGGACATATTCTCTCTTCTCTGCTCAGAAGGCACTGCTCCATGACACAGACACCCGCAGGGTGAAATCCATACGCACACAAGCACATGAGAAATTAAGGGGAAAGACCCAGACATTTGAGCAAAGTAAAGAGAAAATGCATAATTTTTGAAAAAGATAAAAGAATCGTTAAGGCCAAAGTTCAACACGTCTATCACCGGCCACAGGGAGCCTGCGTCAGCCCCAGATGAGTGGGGACAAGGGAAGGGGAGGCTGTTCTCTCTGAGCAAACAGAGATGTCCCCATGCATGTGTGACCTTTGTTGCTGATGAGTTGGTTCAGTCCTGTGCACAGGTGTGGCACATGTGGATGAGGTGAGGCACTGCCCTGGGACAGCGTGGGGTGCGACTCTGAACACATAGGTCCCTGTCTGCACGCTTGTGCACCCCAGACTGGGAGCACAGGTAGGCCTGGACCTCTAGGGAAACGTGACAGGCGGTCTAGGAGGGAAGAGGCTGTGGGGATGGCAGGTGACAGGCCAGGAGTCTCAGAAGGCTTCAGGGAGTGGGTGGGCGGCCTTGGGCTGGACATGGAAGGTGGTTGGGACAAGGGCAGAGGGCTCTGCAACAGCCAAGGCTCTGAGGCCCACATGTGCGGCCAGCATCTGGGCAACAGCCAGACTGTGCCCTGGTGTTCTCTGGGCTTCTTTGGGAAGCATAGCTGGACAAGAAATCACCATCCCCCCTTTATTGGCAATTATTAGTTACTGTTATCCCATCCGCCAGTCAGCCTTTGGGAGGCTAGTTCAAGTTCACAGCAACTTCTCTAGGTGGGCTGAGTCTAGGCAGTAGGTGGTTGCTTGTCCTGGCTGGAGGGGACCACCCTCCAATTACATTCTTCTCAGAACCTAATAAATCCCCTAACATTTCTGCTCCTGAGTGAGGACATAGAGTGTGTCATGGACAGTCTGAATCCCAGCATTAAAAGGCATAGGGGTCACAGTAGTACCCCCATATTCAGCTTATTGGAAAGCTGTGCATTATTTATATACTGAAAGAAAAACAGCAATTGCCAATGAGAAGAATAATAATAGATAGATGACAGACAGATAAATGATTGATTGATAGGTAGGTATATAGATAGACAGATGATGATGATGATAGATAGGTAGATAGATTGATAGATGATAGAGACGGATCGATAGATATAGATAGATAGATGATAGATGATAGATAGATAAGCAGATAGATAGATAGATAGATAGACAGATGGATAGTAAGGTTTGGGGAAAATAAAAGTGTTGACAATGCACATGATTCATAGGACTTATTGTGAGACCTAACTCCCCAGCATCTTCAAGGACTGATGTGATAAACACAGTGGAGATGGATCCCACTCTCAGATTGATCTCGTTTGACTTAGAGATGCTCACAGCCTGAAATCAGAAGGCCTTTTGGTTTCTCTGGTGTCGACCCCAGTCATTAGATGGGCTCCCCGGCTCTAAGCTGTGAGTCTGGGACGAGGGGCATGACCTTCAGCGCCTCGAGATGCTGTCCCAGCAAAAGAGCGTGTGTGTACTTCTGAGCAGTTCCTTCCGAGGAGCTCAGACCAGTTCAAAGACAGTCACCCAGCTCAGGTACCAACTGGGGTACTTGCTGACTATCTTGCCCTCTAGAAGGGCAGAGAAAAGGTGCACCTGAGATGGGAAACGCTAGCGAGTCAGCATCTCAGAATGTGACGCTGTTGCATCATTCACCCTTCTCCTTTCAGTGGGCAGGGACCCCAAGGAACCAGGTGCCCTCCTGAGAAGCTTGGGGACCCCAGCTGGGTCCCCCCTTTCCCTGGTCAGTGGTCTCTGTGTGGCCTTCAGGTCTGTGGTGGTCCATGGGGTTTAGTACCAGAAGTCCAGGGAAGGTCTTGAGTGGGTTTACAGATTTCTGTGTAGAGACAGCCGTGCTTCTGGGTGACGTGCCACCATCTCAAACCTCTAATAGTGGTTCAGGCTGTAGGTTTCACCTTACAAGTCACCTGGAGGAGTGAGACGGATCTGAGACCATTGGAGGCATTTTCTTCAGTTACTGTTGTCCAGGGCCTTTACTTTGGCCTCAAGAACTTGAACACACACTTGGCAGCACCACCTCCACCAGGTTTCTGGGCGTGAAGGTCGGCAGGAAAGGGGTCCAGCCAGACTCTGCCCTAATCAGGGAAGGTCTGTGGGGGCGGAGGACGAGTGCCCAGGTCTCGAGCGCACCTGCCGAGGAATTTCAGTGTGAAAAATATCATATTGTATTCCCTATTTTCAACTCCAAGCCGGCTACACACACTCTAGTCAACCAGCAGCCGCGGTCCAGTCCACCAAAGACTGAGCTGGGCGCGGTGCAGGGGCGGGGCGAGGAGAGAGGGGCGGCAAGACGGGCGGTGAATCTGTGGGCAAGTGGGCATCTCCTGTGTTCTTTCCTCATGTCTTCAGTTCATATTTTCCTTTCTCATCTCTTTTACTTCCAATCTCATTCTAATTTTCTTCATTTTTGCTTGAATTCTAAAAGCCATTTCCTGTCCCATCCTTTTCTCTTTCCAGTTAAAAAGAAATGTTCCTTTCCCTCTCCATCCCCCTCCTTTTGTCCTGTCTGCTTCTTGCCGTGGACTGCTTTAAATCTTTTCCTTTCTCCCTCCTCTCTGAGCTTCCTGCTGTTTCTTTCTTCACCATTTTTAAAATCATGGAGAACTCCTGGTGGTGGCTCTCCCGCTGGGCTGGTGACAATGGGCGAGCTGGCTACACAAGAGCATCTTTGCATCATCCCACCGCGGGCTGGCGAAGGGAGGGAGAGCAGGGCCTGGCGCTCTGGGGGGTGACGAAGGTCCCTTGTCATGCCCTCTCCTCCTTGGAGGGGGCGGTGGGCTGTGCCCAGGATGTGGGCGACCTCCAGAACCCTCTGTGGCCTCCTTTTGTGAGGAAGGTTTCCCAGAAATTTGTTCCTTGCCTGTCTCCCGGAAGCCAGATTCCATCTCCCAGGCTCCGTGGGCCTCAGCGGCTGCTCTCCGCCCCCTTCTCGCTTCTCCATCAATAGGCAGCATCCCTTCAGCTGCATTTCCAGCAGAAGAGGGCTTGACATCACTGCCCTCTAGGAGGTTAAAATAAAATGATTCTTTCCAATAAAAATGACCTATATAAACACTGCAGGATGATTTGTGAAAGGACGATTGTTTTTCAAAAATTATTTTATTGGGGTCATATTGGCTTACAACATTGTGTAAATTTCAGATGTACATCACTATATTTCAGTTTCTGTATAGACTGCACGGTGTTCACCACTAACAGTCTGGTTTTTATCCACCACCATACACGTGTGCCCCTTTACTCCTTTCGCCCTCCCCCTACCCCCTTCTTCTCTGGTAACCACTAATCTGTTCTTCTTATCTATGTGTTTATCTTCCACGTATGAGTGAAATCGTTAGTGTTTTTTATTTCATCATCTCATTGAAAGGACACAAATGCAAACATACAGAACAGGATTGAAACAGATCTTAAAAGAAAAAAACAGTAAGAGCGCATCTTAAAATAGCTCAGGGTTTCAAATTCATCCCGCCCAGGAGTCGGCTGAGGGTATAATGTTCAGATTTGCAGCGTGCATGTGTGTGGTAGGGGAGGCACGGGCAGGGTCTGCGTCCCAGCTGCGTGCCCACAGACACGGGTTGCGGGGAAGAGAGCAAGAAACGTCCCTCCCTGGTGAGACAGGATTCAGCCACAAAACAAGAACAACAAACACAAAACAGCAGAGCGACAGCATTCTGCTGCTGAGTGCCCATGTCCCCAAACCCGGCAGACCCGGCTTCTCGTCCTGTGTCGGCCGCGACAGTCATTAAACGCAGCAATGGAGAGGCGCGCCGAACACAAGTACAAAGTCGGCCTCCTCGAACACGCGCAGGGGAAGAAGAAACAACTTTACACAAGTTGTTCTGGAGGCTGCTCTTTGTGATAAGGGACTTCTGCTCCCTGTCAGCCCATGCCATATGCTGCAGGAAACCAGGGGCCTTGTCAAGGAGGGGCTCCTGAATTATTGATCAATGATTAGCAAATGCAATCGAAATTGTAGACTTGATGTTGTGCGGAGATCCATAATTGATGAGTGAACACAATAAGAGGTGGTGGAGGTGGCAGTAGGTGATTTCAGCCCCATATTGATTACCTAAAACAACAGGAGGGAAGTGTACTGTGACAGACGGAACAAAGCTGACGGCTCCCTGGCTGTCCATCAGCGCAGCCCGGGAGCGGCGGGGGGATACGCCGGCTGAAGAAGCAAATACATTTCCATTGTGCATCTTTGATCTTCCTGCTGTTCTACGAGACCAAAGGACATATTTGTTTATAATTTATGTATTCTCTCCCCATAAAAGATTGATGGTGCCCTATTAGATACGCTGGGATCTAAATTTCCAGATAGTTTGTACCTGTGACAGCCTGTGACGTTATGTTGTGAAAGTGTCCCCTGGTGTCCACAAGCAGAGGGATGGCCCTGGCCCAGGGGGCTGTGCCGGGCAGCGGGCCGTGTACTTGGTCCCGCCACACCCGCTCTCACCGGGCTGCGAGCCACCGCAAACCCTCCAGGACCAGCTCGTCGGAAACTCGGCCGGGACATGGCCGAAGACAACCTGACCTTAACCCCGTGATCAGTTCTCTTCAGGGCAGGAATCAGCTGTAGATGGACGGTTTCTCCTTCTGGGAAGTTTAAAAGAGGGCAAGTTAGATTCCCCGTATTTATGAAAGTTACGTAGTGAAAAGTACGTAATTTTAATTACAGGTGGAATAAATGGCAGTTCGGTCAATTTAGGGCAGTGGTTCTCAATGCAGGGATGATTTTGCCCCCAGGGGAAGTCGAGCAAAGCCTGGGTGCATCTTGGGTTGTCACAACTGGGGAGGGTGCTACTGGTGCCTAGAGCCCAGAGAGACTGCTGAATAAGAGAGTCCAGAGAGCCTGCAATGCCCGGGAGGGACCACTAGGCAAGGAAGGAGCTCGCCCCAAATGCCTATAGTGCCGAGGCTGAGACACCCGATGGAGAGGACGGGAGAAGCAGAGAGAAACAAAAGTAAGGCCCCCACCCTTTCAGGAGGACCCAGGATATTGAAGCTGAGGGCACAGGCTCTCCCAGAGCTAGCAGCCCAGACTCAGGTCCAATCCCAGCTGCCCCACGTACCAGCTGAATGAGGGGCCCGCTGGGTCACAGTGGCCTCCCCTGTAAGGTGAGAAGGAAAATCATGTCTCCCGATATTCTAGCATGGAGTCAGGTCACATGGGGCACAGAGCCTGGCACCCAGGACGCATTTAACACATGTTAATTCTTTATTGAATTCGTTAGGAATACTGTTTCCCTACGCAGTACAAATCTCACAACCTTCATATGAAGAGCTCTGCTGTGCGGGATCTCAACTCTGCTTATTTTTTTATTTATCTATCTATCTATATCTGCCTATCTGTCTATCTATCTGTCTATCTATCTATCTCTATCTTATCTGTCTGTCTGTCCATCAGTCTATCTATCTATCGATCGAGATGGGTTAAAACAGCTCAGACAACTTTCCTAAATCTAAGCCAAAAAACAAAATGTGGTGAGAATTGAGCATAAGAGGATGTTTTCAAATAACTCAGTTGTTAAGACCTACAAAACCCTGCAAAATGTTGCGTTGCAGGATTATAAACGACAGTAAAGAATGCCACTGCAAACTGCACTTTCGAAAGTCACTGCAAAAAATATACTCTACAGCAAAATATTCCCAGATTAGGGGGCAAATATACAAGGAGGCTTTTGAGATCAGTTTGGAACTCCTGCCCTCTATTGTTTTAAAAATGTAAAACAAAACAAAACGGAATTCGCTTACAAGAGCCTTCACGGTTTTTCATCA